GTGTGTGTGTGTGTGTGTGTGTGTGTGTGTGTGTGTGTAGGAAAATGGCCAAAGGACCGTCTCTCAAAGACTCAAGAGCCACAGCCAAGGAGCAAAGCTTGCAGGACCAGCATGTAGGGCAAGGGCTGTCTTGTTTCCCACCCACCTTCTGTGCATGTGTTTGTGCACACGTGTGCATGTTGCAACCTTTTGCTGAGATACCTGAGAGCAGCACACAGGTGGATGTAGAGACCCTCTAAGTGTGCCACGGGTGGTGGGCCAGCTACTGACCGCCTAGGCAGCACACTGTCTCTGGGACACTGCGTGGCTTCTCCTGTGAGCAGTCCCAGCAGAACCCAGAGTGCTGGCTGATTCTAAGAGGGACAGAGGTCCTGTTGCATGCATTCCTGTCTTCCTCTGTGCTAGATGGCACTGTGGCCAGAGCAGGGCTCAGGAGTCATACAGACAAGGGACTCGTGTTCTGATCCTGCCTCCTCCTGGCTGTGTGTTATGGGCAGCCTATTTCTCCAGGCCTTAGTCGTCTCATCTGTGAGAAAGGACAGCACGTGGCAAGATGCAGAGAGCTCTGATGTGAGCAGACTGTGAAAGGGTCTGGCGACAGTCCCACACCTGGTTCAGAACACAGGAAAGCCAGCCTTGGGAAATCTATGTGAGAAGGCCTTTCTCCTCCCCTACAGAGCCTCAGGAGCCCAGGAGAGGCTGCCATTCATTTGATTTTATCTTTAGCCAGTCCCTCCATGGGAGCCCTCCAGCAGGCTCTGTGTGTGAGTGAGGATGTAGGACCAGTGACCCTCAGGAAACTGACCTGCTAGAGGGTGAGAAGAGGCAGATGTGTAGCTCTGACCACGGGTACAATAACACCAGAGTCGTGAGCTGCCCCTGAGCCCTGGGAGGAAGGCCCCAGGGTGAGTCTAGAAGGCTTAGGAGAGTGTCAGGTGGAGAAACAAGAAGACCCTGGCAGTCACATGCATGTGGCTGGAGTGGGGAGAGGCTGGAGATAAGCCAGGCCAGCTGACCAAGAGCCTTGGTGACGCAGAAGCTGAGACCTTTTGCTCTTGCTGAGCTAAAGAAGAGGATGGTCATTTCTGAGTCCTGGGGCAGGTGGAGTAGTGGGCAGCAAGGATGTGTCCTGTGGGCTTGGCCTCTCTCTGGTGTGCAGCCTCGAGGAGGAGTCGGGGTAATAGTAGTGTTTGGGGAGCCTTCTGTCATTCAGACTGCCCTTTGCACCGTCTGTTAGAGGGAGGCCCCAAAAGGCAGCCCTCTGAAGGGACCCCTGGAAATGGAGCTCTTTGCACCCCGTGGCTGTTTGCAGGGGATTGAAGAACCTTCTCCTCCCTCTGCCCCTTTGTCCTGCTCCCTCTTCCTCCTCCTCCTCTTCCTCCTTCCTTCTCTTCCTCTTCCTTTTCTCTTTCTTTTTCCTCCTTTTCATTCACCCGTTTTTTCCCTCTCTCATATATATATACATATACATATATATATATGTATATATATATAATTTATTTGTGTGTATCCTTGATGGGAGGGACTTTTGTCCGCGTGGAGGTCAGAAGACAGCTCTGTGCAGTCAGTTTTCCTCCCACCATGTGGGTTCCAGGAACGGAATTCTTCTGGTTCGGCTGGGAGGCAGCGCCTTCACCCGCCATCACCAGCTCTGCCCTTTCCTTCTCCGTCTCGTTGCTGTCATCGTGGTCCCATCCTCATGGAGGTCCCTCCTCCAGTCCCATCACAGACTCTGCAGGAGGCTACAGCCATGTAGACCTCAGGATGGACTGGCCTGCTGTGTTGTGTGTCACCTTCTTCACTGATCTGTTCAAGACAGACAAGGAAGTGTGACTAAGGAGCAGAGTGACCCCTGACCCATGTCCATACTGATGACTGAACATCCTGCCTGGGGCTCAGGTCTGAGCTTATTGAGCGTATCAGGATGGGGTGGGTGGTGGGTGAGAGCCTTGTCAATCACCCAATGGCTTTAGTGGCCCCAGCAACACCTACCATACCCCAGGACCCCTCCCTGACAAAAGCCGGCTCACTCGCTAGCACTCTCTCCCTACAACCTCGCTGTCTCTTTCAAGAAAGACCTGAGGGTGGCTGGGCCATTTGTTCCTCCACATGGTGGGGTGAAGGGAGAGGGGTAAAGTCCACCTGTCAGCCTGGGTCTCCACTCCCCCAATGTGCTGCATAACTCTGGGCTATTCTAGCCCCCTCTTGGTTTCTCTCTCCTTTGTTCAGTTAGAGGAGGGAGTTCCCAGGCCACCCTGTTTTGAACTACTGTGGGAGGGGAGGGAGGGAGGAAGGGAGGAGGGAATGAAGAGGTGGTCCCCTGGCTGGTCCACTCACTGTTTCTGGATGTCTTGAATGGTATCGGGCAGTGGCAAGTTCTTAGTCTCAGGCAGCAGCAGAGCAGCTAGGCCACTTAGCACTGACACCACGCCATACACCAGCAGGGGCAGCCAGGAGCCGTAGACGCTGAGCAGTGGCACCAGAGGGCCTAGGATGGCTCCCCCTCGGGCTGCTACCTGGCCCAGGCCCACTGCTGTCATCCTGTGGGGGCACATTTGCCTATGAGTCACACTTTTCCTGCCCTGGGTCTTGACCTTTGACCAAGCCCAACTCCACTAGGTCCAGGGAGGCCCAGTGGGCCAGGCAGTGTGGAGGCTTAACTGGGGAGCCCTGAGACCACGTGGAAGGGACACCCATGTGGACCCCCTAGCTATAATGCTCTTGAGCCAATGACAACCTCACCTGAGCACAGTGGGGAAGAGTTCACTGCTCAAGATGGTGGCACAGGTGAAGGCAGCCCCCAGGGACCCCAGCCCCAGCACAGCCAGGGACGAACGAAGGACCTCCATATCTGTGAACAGTGGTGGTATCAGCAATCAGCAGAGTCTGGCATCCTGTATTCCCCGGACTGTTCCCTATCCTATGTCTGTCAAATGTCCCTGAGTCATCCTTCCAGTGTCCCCAATCTCCCCACCTTCTAGCCCCTCAGAACCAGACCCCAGGAGTCTTCCTTGCCTCCCTTCCCCTCCCTCCCTAATCTATTACCAAGTCTGGGTTAGCTTTCCTGACCGCCCCTACAGTTCTACCATCCGTCACTGTTGGACCCGCCGCCACTCTCCTCCATACCCCCGACAGCCTCTCTCCTAAGTGTCTTCTGCTGTGGTCCCTCACCGTCTATTCTGTTTCTGCACCCCCCGCCCAGGGGAGGCAGGAGAGCCTCAGCTAGCACGCACAAGTTTTGCTTCCTCTTGCTCACCCGCAGCTGAGCTGCAGCTCACCGTGGGGCACCAGTATGTTGGCCAGGATGCTGAGTCCTGGCAGCACCAGGGAGCTGGCCTGGCAGAGACGTCGGCCCAGGCGTCCGAGCAGCAGCAGGCCGCCTATCTTCACTGGGAGGTCCACAACCCCAATGAGCATTTGGAGCAGGAAGATATTGCTTCCTAAGGCCTGCAGGTTGAGGGCCAGGCCGTAGAAGGTGAAACCAAAGGCAAACCTAGAAGTGAGGATTGGTGAGTCAGTCTTGGGTGGCTGTTCTTCTGCTTGCCCTGTTGGCCTTGTCCAGGCCCACCTTAGGCACTGGATTGGTGGTACCCAAAGAGTAGCCAAGGAGAGAATCTGGGTATTTCCCCCTCTCTCTACTTGGCACTCCATTTGGGTTGCTATCTCACTGGCTCCCAGGTGTATGGAACAGTCCCTCCCTACAGTCTCTGTGGAATTGATCTTTGCTGGGTGGGGCAATGGGCTGTGTATGCATGGTACCTCTAAACAAGATGGAGCAGCTTCGTGTCTGATTCACCTCCCAGCGTCACCGTTCATCCCCATTCAGTCTCTTACAGGTACCTGGGCCTGCGATCCTGTCCACCAGCCCATGTGGCATTGCTTGTCTCCTCTGGGAGCCTGATTATAGATAGCAAGGTCCCTGGGCTAAAGGTCATCCTAGAGTCATCTCTACCAGCGGCCCATCCCTGGCTGCCTGGTTGCTGTCCTGACCAGGCTTCCCCACGGCTGGTAGTCTTGGGTAGAAGGGCATCTACCAGCACAGCATGGAGATGAAGGTTCGCAGGCGCAGCCCAGGCGTGTGGAGTAGGGTGCCTAGCCTGGCACGAGTTTGGTCCCCACTCGCTTCCTCCTGCATGGCTGACCGCAAGACCTGTGGGAGTGAGGGCTATTAACACCAGGTGTCCATAGACCCTCCTCCAAGGACCCTCCTTCAAGAGCCAGGGCCCTCACTTAACCTCCACGGGAGCGCCTGTGCAAGGCCAGGAGAGGATCTGAGGGACAGGGGACAGGGTCGAGGGAAGGCCCAGCCTGCCTTACCTCCACGGTCAGTGTGTCTCCCTCTGCCTTCTTCCTGTTCATAGCAGCTACCCTCTGTAGTTCGTGCAGGCCCTGGTCGAGCTTGCCCACCGTTAGGAGCCAGCGTGCTGATTCTGGAAGCCACCTGAAGTGGACAGGTGTGGGAGGGGACCACTGATTGTGGCCCCCATTGTATCACCTTCCCTCCCTGTCCTTCTGTCCCCTCTGCCTAAGTGCCTAAGTGGCTTCTGGGAATTGTAAACTCCAGTCTCAGGGCAACTGAGGTCAGTGGAGGCCATAAGGACAGTGCGGTAGCCGTGGCGTGTGTAGCCAGGCCACCTAGATCACCGCCTGTACCAGCAGGTGGCCTCCCTGTCTCCTTCTTCTCTGAGTTTGGGGGCCCCATGTTCTCCAGTCCCTGAGAAGGCTGCTGGATAGGGAAGGACTTCCTTGTTCCTTCCCACCTCCTTGTCACATGACCCCTCAGCCTTGCCCATGAACCAGGCCTGGGTGCGATAAGGACTCCAATGGCTACAGAACCACAATGGCTACCAGGGTGCCTCACCATCATGGCATCTTCCCATGTCACACATGTTCCCTTCTGCCTCCTCCCCCAAGTTGTATTGTTTTCCTGCTTCCCCACTCCCTGTCCAGGGCTCACCCAACCCTCTGTCTGCTCTTCTGTGAGCCCCGATCGCTGGACTCTTCCATCCCATTGTTCTTGGCTTTCCTGGCCCTGTCTGTGTCTCTGTGTCAGGATACAGGTGCTCGCTTCTCACCGTCTCAGCATCCAGCACAGGCCACCCTCTCTCTCACCAAACACAGTGCCCCTGTCCCCTACCCACTTACTTGTTGCACTGAATTGCTCAGCCCTCAGGCCTTTGGTAGTGAGCACCATGCAGCATTGCTCCTCCCTCCAGGCCTCTGATCACCAAAGACCCCTCCCACACCCACAAGGATATGCAGTCCCCTTTGAGCAGCGGCTGGGAGGAGCATCTGTTTTATGTCCATTAGGACCCTGAGCCCCACCCCCCCTGGATTTGAAGGACAAGGAGGGAAGGGAGTACAAGTACAAGTTTAGGACATGATTCTCAGTGACCTGTTGGCCTTGGGTGACCTGGGCAGTGACTGGGGAGAGGCTTCCTAGTCCCAACGGGGAAGTAGGTACGAGGAGTCAGGGGTGATGAGGGGTCAGGGGCGAGGAGGAGTCAGGGGCGAGGAGGGGTCAGGGGTGAGGAGGGGTCAGGGGTGAGGAGGGATCAGGGGTGAGGAGGGGTCAGGGGTGAAGAGGGGCCAGGGGTGAGGAGGGGTAGGGATCAGGGGTAAGGAGGAATCGGGTGAGGAGGGGTCAGGGGTGAGGAGGGGTCAGGAATAAGGAGGGGTTGAGGTGAGGAGGAGTCAGGGGTAAGAAGGGGTCAGGGGTGAGAAGGTTTTGGGGTGAGGAGGGGTCAGGGTGAGGAGATGTCTGTGTGAGGAGGGCTCGGGGTGAGGAGGGGTTGGGGTGAGAAAGGGTTGTGCAGGTAGTTGGAGACTTGAGGCTGGAGGTAGGAGTCAAGGTGGCACTGGGGATGGTGAGGGTGGGAGTAGGGGTGGGGATGAGGCAAGTTGAGGCAGAGGTTTGGGATCTGCAGAGTATGAAAGGGGCTGGAGTTACTGACTAGCAAGATCCCCTGAGGAGGGAGCATGGATAGTGACCCCAGTTTGCTCCTGGGCCACAGGAGGATGGCACCTGGCTTGTTGAGGGTGAGTTAGTTGGAGCAGGGGGCGTTTGGGCTTGGGCAGCTGGGGTAAGCATCACAGGCCCCAGTGGCTCCCTTCAAGCCCAGGTGGTCTTGACCTCCAGAGCTCCTAAGCCCTCTGTCTGCAGAAAAAGGGGAGTCTCCCACATTGACCGCCCCCACGAGAGTGGGCGGAGCCTCTTTCAAGGAGGAGGCTGCGGCACCCACCACGAATATACAAAGAAGAGGAAGAAGGGGGCAGAGACAGCCAGCTGCAGCATCCTCCAGCTGCGCACACCGTAGGCCACAGAGCCTGTCAGGATGTGCCCGAAGCTGAAGCCCAAGGCATTCAAGGTCATCATCAAGGGGCGGGCCTGGGCTGATGTCCACTCCGTCACTGCAAGGTGCAAGGAAGGGGGTCAGTCCTGGGGCCGGCATACAGCCTTCCCAACCCAGCCCCAACTGGGGGACATACAGAGACTGGCTGTGTTCATCATGACACCTGCCACTGCAAAGGCCACCAGGAAGCGGAACAGGCAGTAGAGGGGGAAGATGGGGATGAAGGCAGCTGTTGTGCCGGACATAGCCGCCTGAAGATAGCTCCAGGTCAGCACCCTCCTGCGCCCGAACCTGTGGGACACATGGGGAGGCATGCCATTGGCCAGTAGCAAAGAGCGGCCATGAAGAGCCGTCTTGTTCCTGCCCCCTGAGATGAGGAAGGTGCAAAGCCAGACATGGGGCCAGACGCACATTCTCTACCCATGGGAGGGCTATGAGCATGAGCAGGGTCAAGGCAGGTTTGGCAGCAGCACCCAAGCACTGGCTAAAGGCTGGTGTGTGGCAGAACAGACTTTAGCAATGACTATTTGGAGAGAAATGGTGCGAACCTGAGGTTTAGAGAGAATGCCAGGTCCACTCAGGAGAGCCTGCCCGGACCAGTTGGGCATACTCACCTGTCGGAGGCATGGCCGCACACTGCAGCTCCTACCAGGATTCCAGCCAGGTAGATGGACTGGGCCATGGGTCTCAGGGTCTGGGAATCACACACCAGGTCCCACTGAAGGAAAAGAGGGCCAGAGCTGACATCAAGAGGAGGGCAGTCCCGGCAGAAGGGGCAAAGGAGAAGGGAGCTGGGTGTGGGCGGTTCATGAGGTACCCACAGGTTTAGTAACTTGATTTCTTAAGGAGTATCCTGTCACCCTAACTACTGGGTCAAGACCTCTCTAGCCTTATCTGCCCTCTCCTGAGCCATGGCTCTTAGCTGAGAACCCTCCACCTCCCCTGGAGGCTTGTTTCCTCTTGCATATGCACACACACACTCATGCACGTGCATTCTCCCACCCCTCCCACGTCTCGGTCCTTCCTTCCTCCTGCTTGGGCTATCTGACTCCTCTTTTTCCTTCTTCTCTTCCTCCTTTTCTTGTACACACACACACACACACACACACACACAGAGAGAGAGAGAGAGAGAGAATGTGCACGTGTGTACTTGGTATAGACTTGTGAAGGTCAGAGTTCAGTCTGTCTACCTTATTTTTGTGACACGGTCTCTCACTGAACCTGAGGCTCACTGATTAGACTAGGCTGGCTGTCTGGTAAGCCCTGGGGAGCCCCGCTGTTTCTGCCTCTCTAGAGCTGGAATTACAGTCATGTCACCACTGGGCTCAGCTTTTCCATGGGGGCTGGAGAGCTGAACTCAGGTCTTCATGCCTTCAGGCAAGCAGTTTGCTGATTTATCTCCCCAGCCGGTCAACACCTCTCAGGAGAGGCCAGTGCTCAGCCTTGAGACAGCCAGCAGGTTCCTCTGACTGAGTGAGCTGGAGTCACAGCCGAGGCTCGGCTCTAGATGACGCCATTGGGTGATGCAGAAACAGGGGTGCCAGTCTGTGTAGACATAACTCACTGTGTAGCTCAGGCTGGCCTCAAACTCACGATTATCCTCCTGCCTCCTGAGCACTGGGGTCACAGGCATGATCACCTAAGTCTAACCTGGCAGGTGGACTCCTGCTGCCCAGTCCCCTGTAAGCCATGGTTACCCCCCAGTGAAGAAGCCTGGGGAGGTGTATTCTTTGTAAGACCGGAACAATTGCGTCAAGCCAATTGTGACTATGAGTTTGACCTCCTGAGTGCTGTTACCGTGGTCACGATTGTGGACGTGAAGGTACTGTGGTCGTAGACCCAGCCATCCGCACACGGCTCAGTGTCTGCGTCACTCCAGTTGGTGGCTGTGGTGTTGGGCTCCATAAGCTGCCACTGCGGTTGGCGGAAGCGACGGCACTGATGGGGTTGCCGAGCAGGGCCCAGTGGGATGGAGATGGCCAGAAGGGCACTGGGCCCAAAGTCCCCAGAGACACTTGCCTGGGCAGTGCTGTTGTCCAGCAGGGGCACCCAGCACCGGTGGCGGGGCACGGCAGCTGAGAAGTTCTCCAGCATGTTCTGGCTGGTGACCCATAGGATGGGGGTCACCAGAGCCACGATTTGAAGGACCTGGAACCTGCCCAGGCCTCCTACTCGGTCCAGGAGTTCAGGAAACGCCATGGATTTCTCCAGGGTGCCAGCACTTCACAGAGAACGAGCCCAGGACAACTGGGTCAGTCTGATGAGCCTCCTTCCCCCACGGTTCTGCCCATACCCATCTCCTCCGGTGCCTGTCAGTGTAGCTGTGCCACTGAGTCAGAGCAAACAAGGCTCTGGAATCTACCTGCTGGCTGTTACTAGGGATGGCTCACCCTGAGATCTGGGCTCCCCTGCTGTAATCTGGAGGCCATTGGGGACCTCGCCGAGAAACAGCAGACCCTAGCTCCCAGAAAAAAATAATTTGAGAAACAAGGAGGGAGGGGACAGAAGTCACTCTGACCAGAATTAAAGTGTGACTGGGAGCCGTTTAATAGGAGAGAGTTTAGTAACCATTCCTTCAAAGTTTAACCAGGTGACTGCCTTGCAAGTGAAAGGCCTGCCTTCTCCCTCCACCTGCCTCACGGTCTTGGCGTCTGTCAGGTGTGGGACCTGGGACCCAGTCCTGCCACTAAGGGTTGGGGGCTGTCAGCTCTCAGTGCTCCTACCTTCCTTACAGGGACATCTATGTTGTGATCTAAGCCAGGAGAGGGTGGGCCTGGGCATCTTTGCAGTCTCAGGGCTGGCGTAATCCTAGCTCGAGTGGTAGCCTATACTTGGGGATTTGTGTGTCCCATGCCACCCAATCTATGAACCTCACTGGTCTCCTGAAGCTGCCACTGCCCCTCTCTCCTTCACTGATTCCCTGTACTGAGCCTCAATAAGCCCTTTTGACATTACTGCCTGCCCTTTCAAGACAAGTGTCCTAAACTTTGTCTCTTCCCCAGGTCTCCTTGTCTTAGGATCAGTTTTTTGCCCATCGTCACATGGCCCGCAGTCTGGTTGGACTCACAGTTCACACCCCGGCTCCTCAGCTCCCAATCTCACAGGTCTCTAAGCTGAACTAATTCCGAGGATTTCTCCCTTTGCCTCTGCTTTGTCCCTTCCATCTGCCACCACACTGCAAAACTTCGCACTAAATCCTGCATTAAGCACCAGGAGCCCTGGTTCTCTAGGGGAGCAGCAAGCGCTAGCCCATGGAGCACCTCTCCAGCTCAGCTTGACTGCTGTTGGGTGGAGAACAACCCAACCACGGGGAATGTGTGGAGGCAATGTCCCCCAGGAAGCCATGGGAGCAACCATCTGAACAGAAATAGAAAGGCAGGAGAGAAGCTTGTGGGCACCAGGCTTACCTATTGGCTTTGGTTCAAGGTAGTTCTGAGAGTGGAAGAGGAAAAACTGTGGTCAGGTGGTGGGTGATGGGGTCAGTTGTAAAGGAAAGGTCGGAGTGAAGTGACTGTCCCCAGCTCTGACTGGGTTGAGCTCAGCATATCCCTGAGCCATTCAGGTAGTGGCACCGTGGAGTGACTGGGGAACAAATAGCATATGGAGTCATAAGCCAACTGAGCTCACTCAGTCAGAGACCTTTTACAGGAAGAGGAACGTTGGAGGTCAAGCCCTTCACCACTCGTGGAACCGGATACCAGCAAGAGGGTGTGAGGACAGGAATGGTCAGCAATGAAATCTAGCCCAGTACCTGAAGCAGGGTGGACATTAATGTTAAAGGACTGGACCTTGTCAGGTGGACTTCCCTAATGACTGTGTTCCAAGGGATTGCTGCAAAGGGTGGGATGAAATCCAGTCAGGTGCAGGGGTCCCATGAAGACTGGAAGACAGGAAATGGGATCAGGGCATACAGGCAACCCATTCCAGGAGCGTCCAACAAGAGACTGGAGAGTGGGAAATGGCGTGAATCAGTCATTCACTGATCTAACAAACAGTCCCTAAGATGATTCTCAAAATCTTCCTTGTTCTCCTTCCAAAATAAGATCTCGTGTAGCCCAGGTTGGTCTCAAGTCTAGCTCCACCTCCTGAGTGCCAAGATTACAGTCAGACATCACCTCTGCTGGTTTATGCATCGCCGGGCTTTGAACCCAGGGTTTCAAGCATGCTAGGCTGTAGCCCCAGCCCTCTGTGTTTGTGAGACAAGTTCTCATGTAGCTCTCTAAGCAACCAGGGATGGCCTTGAACTCCTGATCTTGATGCTCCCACCTCTCGAGTGCTGGGATAGGGTTACACTACCATTCCTGACACAGAACCTCTTTGAAAATAAAAACGTTTTTACTGTGCATATATATGGGCAGTGGCGGTGTGTGTGTGTGTGTGTGTGTGTGTGTGTGTGTGTGTGTGTGTATGCAGGTGCTGACAGAGGCCAGAAGAGGTGCAGAACCCCTAGAACTGAAGTTACAGAGTTGTTGGATATGGATGTGGGGAACTCCAGTCCCCTGAAAGAGTAGTACATGCTCTCAATTGCTGAACCATCTATTCAGTCCAGAAGTTTCTGTCTTAATTGTTTAAAATCCCAGGTGGTTGCTACAGATTCGTGGATGCCTGTCCTCACAGGAAATGCAGCCCCTTCCTGCTTGTGGCCCTGCGATTGTCCCCTGAAGTCACTGGGCTCATGTGTCAACCATAGAGGGCAAGAAGTTACAGTGAATCTACCTGATTTGGCCTGATTTGGCCTTTATTAGCTAGAGCTGAAGGTGACACACAGTAATTCTTCCCTCTGTTCAGTGGTGAGAGGTATGGGTAGGTAGAGACTTGGTTCCAGCTCTGCACTGGGAGACAAGATGGAGGGGCTGTGGACAGCAAGCTGTCATCACTCTAGGGCTAATGCGTCATCATTGCTTTGTTTTGTGAGAAGACAGGATAGCTGGCTCATGTGCCAATGGAAGTCCCTAGTTAGAAATCGGGACCTTGATGACTGGTAGAAGTGGGGGCATTGGTTGTAGCCATGTTCCTTGAGCTCCAAAGGGGTAGGCCCTGGAGTCCAGTGGAGGGTGTGGCCTAGCTACAGAAGTGAGGTTCTCCTTGGGCCCTGAGGAATGGCCCTTTATCATGGGGTATTGGGAAGATGAGGTGACATAAGAAGCAGGCAGGCAGTGGGGAATGGGGACATTGCAAGTTTGAGTACAGAAGAGATGTGTACTTGGGGGATTCACCTGCTGTTCCTTCAAGGCCTGTGATAAGATTTTGTAAGTGGATTCAGGGTCCTCTCCAGTCTGGTTCTATCTTTTGAATTAGCACTGGTCATGGAGGGCTTGACCAGTGACCAAAGGGAGCCTGGGAGAGTGTGTTGGGGAATATTATTTTAAGGCATGTTGCTTTTGTTTATGCTGTATTTGTTGAACTCTGTGAAGCTGTGATTCTTTGCCTGTCTAAAACACCTGATGGCCTAATAAAAAACCGAACAGCCAATAGCAGCAGGAGCAAGGATAGGCTGGGCTAGCAGGCAGAGAGGATAAATAGAAGGAGAAACGAGGAAGAGAAGGAGCAAGAGAACAAGGTAAGGAGGACATCAGGGGTCAGCCACCCAGCAAGTCACACAGCAAATCATGGAGAAAGAAGTAAAGAAAGGTATATAGAAATAGAGAAAGGTAAAAGCCTAGAGGCAAAAAGGTAGTCAGGATAATTTAAGATAAAAAAAGCTGGCAAGAAACAAGCTAAGCTAAGATCAGACATTCATAACTAAGAATAAGCCTGTGTGTGATTTATTTGGGAACTGGGTAGTGGGCCCTCCAAAAAGACAAAAGAATAAAGTACCACACTACATTTAGGCTCCCAATGCGGGGCTCGAATATCCATCTAGAACCCAAGAAACCTGGACAAAGGAAGGAAGAAAGAAAGAAAGAGAAAGAGGGAAGGAAAAAGGATAGGACTCCTTTAAGAGGTACAACTGTTTAACCGGCAGTGATAAATAGAAACTAGAAACATCCAGCTAAGTAAAAATCGTTTATGGCAATGCAGGTACCAGCTTCCACAGTTAGAAAGGTTTAATGAAGTTTTCGGTCATGAGCCTCCAACCAGGGTGCAAACTTTGGGCTTGGCTTTCATGACCGGATCCGAGAGCTGGTGGAGTCAGCTACAGGGCATGTGGAGGACCCAGGTGTAGCTCAACAGTCTAAAGTTCCTCATGCGGCCAAAAAAGGCTAAAAGATATACAGTAAAAGAGGCCCACATGGAAAAACCTCTAAACAGGTTCCAGTGTGCTTTACAATGTGTGTGTAGGCTTAAGAAGGAAAGAAAATGGGTATAGGCAGTTGTAGAAAGAAGTAAAGAATTAAAAAAAAAACAAAGAGGAGTAAGAGTAATATAAAAGAGAAAGTCACGTAAAGATAGGAAACACACAGGGAGTCCGGGTCCCATATAGTATTGTGTTGATTTTGAATTTTTTGGTTGCTGAAAAGCAAAGGACAGCTGCTGAGAGACCTGGAATTGAAAGAGGGACTGTGAAAATAAACCAACCCAGATATTTTAAGAATGGTTTAACTTTTAAAAAGTCAAAAATGTATTTGTCAAAATACATGGAAATCAGTGATGCTTTGGAGAAGTGGTTTTGCTTTTGTTACCACAGGAAATCAAAAGGATGTGGATTCATTCCAGGTTGATTTGGATCTTGTTTGACCAGGGGAGACCTCCTGAAACTTGACAGGTGATACTTACCAACAAGGGTTATAACTGGTCTTCCCAGGACTTGGATGTTATCTCAGATTTTCTCTCTGGGACCCTAAAAATATTTCACACACATTCAGCAGAACACAAGATCCACATCTCAAGAGAAAAGGGAGTGTGGGTGGTCTTTGGTTAGTTGTGGGTCATGAATGTTTGTTCTATTTAGGGGGATATAGGAATATGGGATAAAAAGACAACTATCAATCTCAGATATTTTGTATTGGCATGGATTTTGATATATTGATACATATTAAATTCAATTTTGCTACACTGTATATATGTTTTTTCTCTTGCTTAAAGGACTTTTGTATACAAATTTTGATACAAATATAAGGTAATTTTTGTTATAACACACTGTATATATGTTTCTATTTTGGTTAAAGGATTTTGTATATTGATACAAATTTAAGTTTTTTTGTTACAACATATTGTATGTTTTTGCTTTTGTTTAAGGTATTGTACCTATGTAGTTCATTTAAAAATGTAAGGTAAATTTCTAGTTTTTGAAAGCTATTATTATGAACTATCAAGAAACACAGGTCAGAAGTTAGTCATCTATAACAACTGAATTTGTAGATATGCTAAGTATGTTTTCCAGATCATATAGAGATATATTTTAGATAGATGGTCTTCAAATACTTCAAAGACCTATAGAATATAACATTTAAAATGTTTTGTTAATTTAAGGTTTTCATGATAATAAGACACATCTGCTCCTGGAAGCACCAATTTACTTCAGAGAAGATATGAGCATTGAAGAAACTTCTTATGGAGTTTGCTTTCATTGTGGCAAGGTTAGCCACTGAGCA